GGGCTCCAGTTCAAGTCCCAGTTGCTCCACTTCTGATCCAGCTCTCTGCACTGGCCTGGGAAAGCAGTGGAAGATGGCCCAAGTTCCTGGGCCACTGCACTCTCATGGGAGACCTGGAAGTAAAGAAGCTCCTGGCTCCTGGCTTTGGATCAACTCAGCTCCTGGCCCATTTGAAGCCCTTTTGGGGGAGGTGACCCAATGGCTGGAAGGAACTCCCCCCCCCACCCCCCCCATCCCCCCGCCTCTGCATTTCTGTAACTCTGCCTTTCAAATACTAAATAAATAAATCTTTTGTTTTTTTTGTTTTTTTGTTTTTTTTTTTTTTTTTTTTTGACAGGCAGAGTGGACAGTGAGAGAGAGAGAGACAGAGAGAAAGGGCTTCCTTTTGCCGTTGGTTCACCCTCCAATGGCCGCCGCGGCCAGCGCGCTGCGGCCGGCGCACCGCGCTGATCCGATGGCAGGAGCCAGGATCCAGGTGCTTTTCCTGGTCTCCCATGGGGTGCAGGGCCCAAGCACCTGGGCCATCCTCCACTGCACTCCCTGGCCACAGCAGAGGGCTGGCCTGGAAGAGAGGCAACCGGGACAGAATCCGGCGCCCCGACCGGGACTAGAACCCGGTGTGCCAGCGCCGCAAGGCGGAGGATTAGCCTAGTGAGCCGCGGCGCCGGCAAATACTAAATAAATAAATCTTTAAAAAATGAACAGACACTTAAAAAAAAAAGAAAAGAAAAATGGAGTTCTTTCCACGGTAGAGGTGCGTAGTGAAGAGAAGTAGTCAATGAGGTAGAAGGACAATCATCAGTGCGTCTCACAGTAAGGCAGGAGAAAATTTTAAGGAGTAGGAAGCCAGTTGTTTCCAATATGGCAGACAGGTTGAAACAGATAAGAACTCAAATACACCTCTATAATTTGGGATCACAGAGCACTATTCTTAAATAGAGCAGGTTCAGAAATTAACTAGGACTCAAGTCCATGTCTAGTAGTTGAAAATGAGCTGGGGGGCAGGTGCTATGGCGCAGTGGGTTAACACCCTGGCCTGAAGCGCCAGCATCCCATATGGGCGTCAGTTTGAAACCTGGCTGCTCCATTCTGATCCAGCTCTCTGCTGTGGCCTGGAAAAGCAGTAGAAGATGGCCCAAGTCCTTGGGTCCCTGCACCCATGTGAGAGACCTGGAAGAAGCTCCTGGCTTCAGATTTGCACAGTTCCAGCCATTGCAGCCAACTGGAGAGTGAACCAACAGATGGAAGACCTCTCTCTCTCTGACTCTCCTCTCTCTGTGTAACTCTGATTTTCAAATAAATAAATAAATCTTTACTAAAAAAAAGAAAGAAAGAAAATGAGCTGGTAATGAGAAATGACTGGGGGATATACTTGTTCAGTATTTTAGGTAGGAATTGATGAAAAGGTGGTTTTTGAAGGTAACAGATTTAATGGATGGCATTATAGGCTAAGTGAGAACTGAAAATGTTTGCAAGCAATGGAAAAGAGCCTGGAGAAGTAGAATTTAAAGATGTAAATGTTAGAGAAAAATGGGTCCTAGAAGTTTGTATGTGAACACAGAGGAAATGCAAGAGAAGTCTCTTCTTTGTCAGAAATTGGAAAGAGGGAGCAGACAGGTAGAGACAAAACATAGATCCCAAGAACACTGAGGTGACAGAGAAGCTAAGGAATGTATAAGGGCCTGAGATTTCTTTTTTCATAATTTTTTAAAATTTTAAAGGAGAGAGAGAGAAATCTTTCATATTCTGGTTCATTCCTCAAATGCCCACAATAGTCTGCACCCCCAACACAGGGACCAACTACTTGAGCCATCACCCAGTACCTCCTAGGATGTGCATTAGCAAGAAGCTGAAATTGGAAGTGGATCCAGGACTTGAACCCAGGTACTCTGATGAGGAGTATGGAGGTCCCAAGTAGCATATTAACTGCAGTGCCATCTGCCCACCACAAGGCTCCAGATTTCTAAGCAATATAGTAGTTGAGGTTGCATTAAATCTACTATGGGTTCCTATAATGAGAAAAGTAGCAGAGTACTGAGCCAAAAGGTGGCTGTGATCAGGGTAGGGATAAAATACTCATAGCATAAACAATTGCAACAAGTCCCATTGGATTTGGTGTGAGTGGATTGAACTAAACAACTTTCAGCCCTCTTCAAAATCTAAAATTCTTCACCAAATCATACTTTAGAAGAGGAGATATAATTGAGATAGGTGGGAAAATAGCCCTGAGGCAGCAATGATTTAAAACTATAGCTCCTTTTATGTGACCTGAAAATGAAAACGAAGTACATAGAAAAATAGACACAGCTCTGCTCTCATGAGGCTTATGATCTGAGGTGGACATGGAAATCGAACTTTAAATTCCTGAGGAAAGGCTTGGGAAGATCAGAGTACAGGTAATTTTGGTTCTTTCTTTCTTTCTTTCTTTCTTTCTTTCTTTCTTTCTTTCTTTCTTTCTTTCTTTCTTTCTTTCTTTTTCTCTTTCTAGAGCACCCGCTCTGTGCCAAGCACTATGGTCAGTGTTTGGAAAACATCTGTAAGCAGCAATTTCTGTTCTGCTCAAGCTTATAGCCTAGACTAAGTAAGTATGCAATTAGAAAGAGGAATACATTTTTTTTAATTATTTACTATTTATTTTATTTATATGAGAAGTGGAAAGACCGAGAGAGACACAGAGAGTTCCCTTCTACTAGTTTACTCCCCAAATGTCTGCTAGGGCTGAACCAGGCTGAAACCCAGAGCTGGGAACTCAGTCTGAGGCCAGGAATGGCAGAGATCCAAGTACCTGAGTCATATCTGCTGCTTTATCGAATCTGCATTAGCAGGAAGCTGGGACTGGAAAAATGAGTCAGGACCCAAACCAAGGCACTCCAACATAGAATGTGAGTGTCTCAAGCCCTAAGCCAGACACTCGCTCCAGAATTTATCTTTTATTTTTTTAAATGTTTGTTTATTTTTATTTGAAAGTCAGCGTTATACAGAGAGAGAAGGAGAGGCAGAGAGAGAGAGGTCTTCCATCCGCTGTTTCATTTCCAAATTGGCCACAATGGCCAGAGCTGTGCCTATCCAAAGACAGGAGCCAGAAGCTTCTTCCAGGTCTCCCACATGGGTACAGGAACCCAAGGACTTGGGCCCTCTTCCACTGCTTTCCCAGACCATAGCAGAGAGCTGAATGGGAAGTAGAGCAGCCGGAACTCAAACCGGAGCCCATGTGGGATGCCGGCACTGGAAGCAGGGGCCTCAGCCACTGTGCCACAGCACCAGCCCCTAAAATAGAATTTAAATCAGATTCCATTTCACTCAAAAACTCAAGCTGTTATACAAAACCATAGCAGTTTCTTAAGTTTCAGTTTACTCACCTCAAAGGGAAAGAGTGCTACCAGATAATTTCTAATATTCCCTGTGGTCCCCAGTACTCTAATTTTACATGCATACAGGCATGATAGCCACAGAGGATAGGAGAAATGAAATAAAACATAATCTGCTTTACATCATGACACTATTTTTCTTATAATTTAAGGTCATTTTCTGAAATTATAAAAGAAGTGAATGTGTAAGCGAAAGTTACAGGAAGATATTACTTCAGATGTAGAACTAAAAAGTATATACATTACCTAAATAGGCAATATGGAGGCTGGGTAGTCATTCTCTGTACACTTTGCAAAAAAAAAGTTCTTAGAAATATTAAAATTATACAATGTGACAACAAGCATACCAGTAATTGAAATTATTAGATAAAACCTTACTACTCAGATTTCAAATCTGATGCATTTTTAATAACAAATAAAGAACCTAATCATAAAAAGTGAGTTTCTTCTTTTATTCTATTGCTTTTTATTATCGTGTATTTTACCTTGATTGAAAGCATTAGACTTGTCAAAATATTTCCTGCTAATTGCTGGGTAGGAAGTTGGAATGAAAAGGTTGAAAGAATGAAGTAGGTAGAATATTCTTCTCTAAAGGAGAACCAAGAACAACAATATTCCAGGAAAGTGTCAGCACTGGAAAATGCTTGTAAATAGAATGTTAAACAGAATTAACAACATGGGCAGTAACCACCCTTTTAGAAAATTACTAAATATCATAATAATACTTAAATATGATATTGGAAAGAAATAAGAAGGAAGGGAGGAAGTGAGGAAGAGAGGACGGGAGGAAGGGAGGGAGGGAGGGAGGAAGGAAGAGAAGAAGGAAGGAAGGAGAGAAAGACAAAGAGAAAGAAAGAAAAAGGAAAAGAAAGAGAAAGAAAGAAACAAAAGAAAGAGAAAGAGAAAGAAAAAAGAAAAGGAAGAAAGGAAGAAGGAGGGAGAGAGGATGAGGCAGGAGAGAGGATGGAGGAGGGAGGGAGAGGGAAGAGAGGAGAGGGGAGGACAGGAAGGGAAGTGAAGGGAAAAGAATCTTGCTACCAACTTCTGAGTTCAGTTTTGAAAGGATTTGGGTTTCCTTTTTCATTATTAGCTGAGTCTTGTTGTTGCAAGTTTAATTGCTTGTGTTCAAACCAGTAGAGGTCTTACAATGAATTCTTATGATTGTTGTTTATAGAAGGGAGCATTTTTGTTTTTCCCCTTTTCCATTATTTGTGAATCCATAATGCTATGCTCTCAATAGCTTTATATGTAAATATTATACATTTCATTGTGTCCCCAGAATGTTTCTCAGACTCACTCTTGAATTACTACTCCATTGTGGAGCTAAGTGACATTTAAGAGAATTATTTTATAATACTTGAAATAGAACAAAACAAATTTGACATAAAGCATCAAAATGTGAAGAGGAAATATTATTTTCTTCTTTTCCTTGTTATAAGTAGTCTAAAAATTGTATGTTGCTTTTGATGGTTTTAAGTGATATTTAAGCATTTATTTTGTTTTTATCTTAAAAACATTCAATTGATTCAGTCAGTTCCTATTCATATTCAAACATAGTATTCCATTGCAAAGTATGAGAGCTTAATTTGTTAAACTCTGCTGGCCTGCCAAACTACGGGTTGAAAACAAGACTTGCCTAAACCCGTGGAAGGTGAGAAAATTCTACAAGGCTGAACAAGAGAGCCGAGTGCTCCTGTTATGGTTGGATATGGAGAGAAGGGGACAGTTTGAAAAAGAAATTTTAGCGTGAACTTCTGGGCATACTTAAGGCCAGGTAAGTGTGTATGAGGTACAGAACTCAATTCTGACATATTTGGGAAATTCGATTTTCTTAACCTATGTGAAAACTTAGCAGAGTACTGGATAACATCTGAGAAGCTATTAAGTAAATATTTTCTGCGTTTTCAATTTCTTTTTGTATGCCTCAAGTTACTTACTCCCATAAAAAAGGTATGGCAAAGTTAGCTTCCGTGAGGTACAAATGAGTCTAAATCCATGACTATTGCAAGGATATGCATACATGAGTAATAATTATGACTTATTCTCTGTCTTTCATGCTTACTTGCTTAGTCAGTTGTGATTAAACCTTAATCAACCTGGAACATGGTTATTGTAAATATCATAGATAAACGTACTAATTTAAACACTGAATGAAGCATGAATCATTGCATGGTTTTTATCAGAAAGGCAGATATAACTCATCTCTTACTTTCTCTTGAGTAAATGACTTGAATGCACCTACCCTACGAGGAAATCCAAAATAAATCATCCCACTTGTCCATCTTTTCTTCCAAGTCATCCTACCATCTACTGATTCTATATTCATCATACTGCGATTCTTTTTTCTGAAGGGATGACAGCAGATCTTGGGATATTTTCATCTCTGAGACATGAGTAAAAACACTGGATTCAGTTTTTGTTTGTTTTAATCATGTTGGTAGGCAAAAATATAAGAAAAACTGGGGATTGTCTGATAATTTTTTATTAATAGTATTTGAAATTTTCTTTCAGCTTGCAAAAGTAATTCATACTTGCATGATATCTTCCTAATTGGTTGGAAAATTTCTCAAATTTCTGATTTTCCAAGCAATGTGATGTTCATAATAAATCCCTTACAAGTTGAGCACAAAAGCAAATTCTCTTGAGTGGAAGTATTTTTGCGTATTCTTTTTCTTCTGATTATAATAGCTTCCATGGTTTCTTTGAAACATTCCAGGAGTGAAATATGAGTGATATATGGAAAATTTGTAATTACTGAGGAGAAAATGATATAACAAAGGAGTGTATTGACACTAAAGTGAAATATACTTCCAGATTCACAGCTCAGTAGAAGAATTTTTTGTGCAAATATCCTCATTCACTGTTATTGTTTTGTTTCTCCCAAAATAAAATAAATGTTATTGGGAAAGAGAGGTCAACCTGTTTTGAATATAAATGAGAATTACTAAAACAGAAAAAATATATATTTCATAATGCTCTGAAGTTGAAGTTAAAATCTGCCTCTAGCCTATAATTGGACTTTATTGTGTTTTATTGTGTTGATCAAAATATTATTAATTTGAACAATATCATTCTTAGCAATTTCTATGCTTTTATAACTATTTAGAATTTTTCATTTTAAATGTATGGAAAGTTATTGCCTATCCTTTATTTCTTGCAAAAATGCACAAAAATTAGAAAAGAAAACTAAACGAAACATGAATAACTGAATATTATCATAATCTTTTTGTTATTTGAATGGTTTCTGCCTCATTTGTTTCTAACTCTTATAAGAAAAGGTCCATTTTATTTTACTTGGTAAATACAGACATTACATTCCACAGTGATATGAGGAGCTGGCTATTTGTTTTTAATCAGTTCAACCTTTCCTAACAAAATTTGGGCTTTCCTGCAGATATATTAGGCTGATAGGCTCGCCTGGTCCTGAATGTTTGAAAGTTTGTCCCAGGTCTCCTGGAAAGGTCCAGATGATGGTATACTCCTGTGAACAATTCCTGTATTCATTCCTGCGAAACCAGTACCAGGCTGCTCACTGTTCACAGAGAATCTGCAGTCAGGAAGCCAATTCCAACCCTGAAAGCAATTAAGTTACTCAAACTTTCCGCTTGTGTACTCTCTAAAGGAATTTGAAAATCCCTATATCCCCATACAAAAGTTTAAGGTGACATCTAAAATTTGTCCAAAATGTAAACAATTGCAAATGATGTCATTTCTAAGTTTATGTGCTTAAGTAATTTTTAAAATGGATCCATAACATTATATACTTTCATTGGGCACACCATAATTTTTTGAAATATACATATGTTTCAAAAGAGTTAAATTTAGCTAATTAACTCATATATATTACCTCACATAGATAATCATTATTGTGGTAAGAGTACAACTTATTTTAAACGTTAATCTTAAACGAGATTATTACATAATTTTTAAATGTATCCTAAGGAAACAGATTAACAAAGTGATTTGATTTTCTATCAATTTAAAAACAAATTTATTTATAGATGAGATCTTCTTTAACAGTTTGAAATTTTGTATCTTCCTTTTATTTTAATGTTTATTTACTTGTTTTTATTTACTTGAAAGGCACAGCAACAGAGACAGAGTGAAAACTCTTCCATCCACTGGTTAACTCCCAGATGCCCATGACATGTGGTGCTGGGTGGGGCAGACCCCAGGAACCCAGAACTCCACTAGGATTTCCCATGTGGGTGTCAGGGACCCAACTACTTGAGCCATCACCTGCTGCTTCCCCGAATGCACATTAGCAGGAAGCTAGATCAGAAGTGGGGGGAGGACTCTAACCCAGGCACTCTGATATGGGATGAAAGTGTCCAGGTGGCAGCCTAACCCACTACACTACAATTCCACCCACCTCCTTTATTTTTTTCAACCTATTTTCCCACTTTCTTTCCTTATCAAGTTTTATCCCAATTTCATGTAACTATTAATATAATGTAATGTTATTTTAAGTATCTTCTATTAATGACTCTTATACTTCATTGTAACAAAAACATAAAATAAATTTAATTTTTAAATTTTCTAATAGGTAGGTGCTAACTGCTAAAAAAATTGTTTTCCTGGGACCAGTGCTATGGCACAGCAGGTTAAAGCCCCAGTCTGCAGTTCCAGCATCCCGTATGGGCACCAGTTCGAATCCTGGCTTCTCCAGTTCCTATACAGCTCTCTGCTGTGGCCTGGGAAGGCAGTAGAAGGTGGCCCAAGTGTTTGGGCCCCTGAATCTGCTTGGAAGACTAGGAAGAAGCTCCTGGCTATGGATTGGCACAACTCCTTCTGTTGCAGCCACCTGGGAGTGAATCAACGGATGGAAGACCTCTCTCTTTCTCTCTCTCTCTCTCTGCCTGCCTCTCTGTAACTCTGCCTTTCAAATAAATAAATTAATCTTAAAAGAAAAAGCTTTCGAAAGTAATACACTATTATTAGTAGTAGTTTCACAAAATAAAATATATTGTTGAATTATGTTTCATACAATTATATTAAATATTAAAATACTGATAAATATTACATTAAAGCTGGATAAACAAAGCTGGGTCTTTTCTCCCCATAAATCTGTATATGAATATTACTTGTTTCTAGAATGAGATAGACTTCAGCATTAATTCTATTTTAGTTTGCCATTTTAATTGAGATTAAATGAGAAAAAATATATAAATACACCTTATAGATGGGAATGAAAAGACTCTTATTGTAGCTTTGATACTTAACTCTTAGATCTTTGCACAACATTTGCGCCAAAAAATTACATGCTTATCTATTATACAAAAATATTTTTCAAGATCCACCTGTGGAAAAAAATTTTAGCCCTCCTCTATTTTCTCAAAAATGAAAAATTAGACAACACCTGTGGTTTGTTACCCAGACATGAAATTCTCACTTCCACAACTACCAGGGCATGGTAAAGTAGTGTTATTTGCTCATGTGTTTGGTGTCATTGCTGAAGTGTTTTCACTCCAGAGCAATGAATCGTAAGATTCCAGGTGGATGAGAAGTGTGACTTTTGAAACACTTAACCTTTTCTAAAGTAGCAAAAGGAAAATTATAAATATGGATGCCTTGACCATAGACCATTTTTAGGAAAGAACTCATGGAAAAGTTGTGGCTTTGAAAATGTTTTTCACACCACCTCCCCATGCCCTTGAAAAGGCCTGGTGAACCTTTGTAGGATTATTTTTGTTGAAGACAACTGACTTGAAGCATCTGAGGTCCCTTGGTGGTCAAAGAGTTTTTAAAGAACAAATACTCCTAAGTAGGAAGATGAGCTATTTTCCTTGCTTTCCTTCCTTTTTTTTTGGGGGGGGGGGCATATTAGTTAGTGGTTATTTCTTTAAAAAGAAAAAAGATCTATTTTATTTATTTGAAAGATAGAGTTACAGAGAGGGAGAGAGCAATCTTCTATCTGCTGGTTCATTCCCCAAATGGCCAAAACAGCTGGAGCTGAGCTGATCTGAAGCCAGGAATCAGGAACTTCTTCCTGGTCTCCCACATGTGTACAGGAACCTAAGGACTTGGGCAGTCTTTTACTGCTTTCCCAGGTGCATTAGTAGGGAGCTAGATGGGAAGAGGAGTAGTCAGGACTTGGACTGGCATCCATATGGGATTCCAGCACTGCAGGCTGGGGCTTTAACTTGCTGCATCACAGCTTCAGCCCAGTGATTATTTCTCTGTAGCTCTGCCAAACAAACAGGGAACTAACATAAGTCAGCGAAGTTTAAGAAAAGCCTGGATTTAAGAGACGAAAGCATGGTTTCAACTACTAACTAAGAAGGATATCTACTTCTAGGTAGGCTCATAAAGTGTCATAGTCATGAATGGCAAATATCAACCAACTTAGCTAACTCCAAAAGGCAAGTTCAGGCAAATTATTCAGCTAAGCACTCCTGGATAGATGTTTCAAAGCAGAATACCAATTACACAACTCAGAATTTCTTACCCCTATGAGCATGAGCTAAAAATCTTCTCCATGTATACCCAGCCAAGTGATGTGGAAACTCAGTGTAATTACCCAGGCAAGGCAAAGAAATAAAAAATAAAATAAGACTCAAAGGACTGGGTCGCATACCTACATCAGCTATTTTTTTTTAAGATTTATTTTATTTATTTGAAAGACAGAGTTACACAGAGAGGTAGAGACAGAGAGAGAGAGGTCTTCCATCTGATGGTTCACTCCCCAGATGGCTGCAATGGCTGGAGCTGCACCGATCTGAAGCCAGGATCCAGGAGCTTCCTCTGGGTCTCCCACACGGGTGCAGGGGCCCA